AAAAGATGACCAGTAAGGGGATCTTAACCCTTGACTTAAGTGTTGTCAGCACCACGCTCACCCAAGTGAGCCACGGGCCAGGCCTGAGGAAATGAAAATTTTAAACGAAATAACATGATTGCTGGTGGAGGTGGTGGGGGTAAAGTATTCCAGGTCCTAATCATTGTTGAGAGACTAAAAATACTGAACAACTATACACTCCATTAGAAAAATATGTAGTTAAATAACGTCTTAAAAATTTCAAGGTACCCACGAAAGAAAAAAAATCACCAAAACCAAAAAATAGAAGTGTATTATGCTGTTCTCAAATTGGCAGAGGGAGAATGAAAGAAAATTAAAATACCAAAGATGGGTAGCTATAGCTCCAGTTTTTAAAGAGGGTAGAAGGTAAAATTTGAATATCTCAGACTTCTAAGATTAACAACAACCTGTCAAATTAAAGACATGATTATTAAATATATACTTTGCAAGCACTTACAAAAAAAGGAATTAGTGTGACCACGTAGAATTAGCTTAAATTTACTGAAATAAAGTTTTACCAATCTAGCATTATTCCCTACTCTGCTTTTCGGTTTATTTTAATTTCTTAATGCTTTTAAAATAGTCCTTAAAATATTTGTTAGGGCCGGCCCGTGGCTCACTTGGGAGAGTGTGGTGCTGATAACACCAAGGCCATGGGTTCGGATCCCATATAGGGATGGCTGGTTAGCTCACTTGGGAGAGCGTGGTGCTGACAACACCAAGTCAAGGGTTAAGATGCCCTTACCGGTCATCTCCTAAAAAAACCCAAATAAATAAATTAATTTAATTTTTGTTAATTGCAAAAAAAAAAAAAAAAAGCATAGAAAAAAAGAAAAAAAATCCTGTCTACTACTGTTAACATGTTAACATATTTGTGTGTCTCTGTGTGTGTATTGTTGCTGCTGCTGCTGAGATTGCTAGGTTGGCAGATGAAGGAGGGGACATATGGGAGATTCATTGAAAACACTGGAGGGCTGGCCAGTTACCTCAGTTGGTTAGAGCACAGTATTATAACACTACGGTCAAGGGTTTGGATCCGTGTATTGACCAGCCACCAAAACAAAAACAAACAAAAAAACCACTGGGCTTGGGAGACTGGAGCCCTGGATGTCCAGACTTACAAGGAAGGAGATGGTACAGTGGAGTGGCCCAGGCATCCAGATTTGATGTCCAATAACTTCCATTTGCATCCTGGATACGCTACTTACTGGCTGTCAAAAGTTACTTTGGCCAAGTGGCTCAGATTTCATTTCTCTAATCTCAGATTCCTCGTGTGTAAAACAAGGGGATAGGAGCATATAACTATGTTGCTGTATACTCTAATGTCCCTCTCTCAGCTTTAAAATTCTATGACTCTAAAAAGAAAAAAAAAATACATGAACTGAAACAAAATCATAAAGCAAATACTTAAGTCTCCAGATGAGAAAAAAATTGGAAGAATAACAGAGTAAAAAGTGAAAAAGAATCAGACTACATGGGAATAGACTAAAATCACTACCATGAAATTAAACAGGAACAAACAAAGAAATGAATTTAGATTAACAAAAAATCTTCTACACAAATACAGAATTGAGCAGACTTGATTTGACGACCATGATTCATTTGAAAAAGAGCTAGGTATTTAAGCGTATGCTCCTGGGGCCCATGGTATGGAGTTATTAGACTAAATTAAAGAATTCAGGCTAGAGTAGCAGAAGGAGTACTTATGGTAAGAGAGGCACAAATCATACTATTAAGTACAGGTCAGATTATATGTAGAATATTATATTCTGTTCTGGAATTGAACACTGATGAATTGGAATGCATCTCATGAAGGGAGCTCGGAACTATAAAGCATCTAGAATCCACGTGAGATCAGGGACCTGGGCTAGTTTACCCCGGAGGAGGAAGACCCAGGAAAACTCACAGGTGCCGCCTAGCATTTGACTGCTCTTGACAGCTGACCTAGGTCCAGCACTAGAGGTGTTCTTAAGAAGTTTTGGGGGTAGGTCCAGTCAAGATAGCAGAATAGATGGTCCCCAGCATCACTCTGTCCCACAAATCAACCAATTTACAACTATAAAAATCTAACAGCCAAGCTGGGGCTGCTGGAGCTCAGGGGAAGAGGAGGAGAGACCTATGGAGTTCATGAAGGCAGGAGAAGCCACGATGAGAAAAAGAAAAAGTTGCTCTGAGCGTTTCGGGCTGCGGCTGATTTAAGGCTGGGACTGCTGAGCACATGGAGCAGGAGCCAGCAGAAGCCACAGCTGTGCCCTTCAGATGGAGTTACTTGGAGGCGGCAGAGGAGAAGAGGGCCTTGGTAGCCCCGAGGACAGCAAGACCACTAATAGGGTTCCCGTGGACCCACGCAGGAGCGAGGAGCCAGAACAGCTGAAAAAGGGGAGCCATTCAGAGGCCGGTGAGTCATCGCAGGGGACTGGTGCAGGGTCTGTCCCATGGAAAGTGTTTGGAGCACAGGCAGTGGGAGAGATGGGCCCACCAGGAGAACACTGGGACACAGCAAGGATAGCCAATCTGGTCCCCAATCAGCACAGGACCACTCAGAGGAGACTGGACAGGAATGCAGAATTGCATGGGGTGCAGTTTGATAAAGACTCAGGCCCAGATCAGAGTTTCTACACAACCCAGGTACACCTGATCTCTGGAGAGCTGGAAGTACCTATAAGGTCAACCATTAAATCCTAAATCCTGAGCTGCACGAAAAGTCTTCCCTAAGGGAACAGCAGCAAAGCAGTAACTTAGCTCAACCACAGAGCTCAAGTACTGGTTCCCACAGGAAGTTCCCCTGTTTTAGAAGTAAGCAAAGGACAAAAAATTAGTTCTGGTCCAGGCCACCACCAGGCCCTTGGGCCCGCCAGGGGACCTGAGGCATGGATCCGGGGACTAGCCCCTCCCCCCCACAACCAGGCACACCACCAGTGCCTCGGGGCCCCTCCTGGGGGCCCAGGGCATGAAGCCAGGTACCAGGACCCCCCCACAACCAGGCACACCACCAGTGCCAAGGAGCATGCCAAAAACATCACTTCCATGTGGGTGGCCCACCACAGCCACCACAGTAACCATAGCTGCTGCAAAAGCGGCTAGATGTCACAACCACCATGTGGATGATCTGCCAGCCACTGGAGTGCATTGACACAAGGAGAGTCACCAGCAGAGACCAAAGAAAACAGGATGTCTCTCTCCACAAAGCCCATTCCAGACTGTCAGAAGAAGCATCTGCTCTATGATAATATTGGGGGACCTGAACACACCTCTCAGCATTGGACAGATCATCTAGGCAACAAATCGACAAAATAACCATTACTCTTTCAGAGGGAGAGAAGAAATCTAGGGTTATCCGTGGTGGGAAGGGGGAGGGAGATGGGGATAGGGAGAGATTGGACAAGGGGCATAAAGAATAAGTACAATTTGTAACAATATACATACTAATAATATTGATTTGATCAACATGTCAACATCGAATCCCCAAAATATGTATAATCAATTATGATTCAATAAAAAAAATAAATAAAAGAAAGTCAATCATTAATTTAAAAAAAAAATAAAGTGGTTTTGGGTGCTATTTTCAAACAAGTTGGAAGACTATCAGTAAAGGAGACAAGAGAAAGCTTTTAATATTGGGAGGGAGGTTAAGACCGGGTGACACCTGTCTCTGAGGCCCTTTCCAGGTTTAAGGCACCTATAATTCTAAACTACTAATTGTCTCCTGTGTGAGGAAAAAAGAGAGTATCATGCTATTGTTATTATTATTATTATCGATAACAGTTACTGGGTGCATATTCTTTGTGCCTAGTAATAAGCAGTCTCCAAAGGGAAAAACAGAGGGGGAGAAGACTTGTAGGATTTTAAGTTCTGATAAGTGTTAAGATACCTTTAATACACTTAACCAAGTTTTCCACAAATGCTTCTATTCATAGAAAAGGGGTAGGGAGGACAGATTACAGTATTTATGGGTAGGAGAAAAACTGAAATAAACGAATATTCTTTATGCTCTAGGTGTAACAACTAATAAAATGTTTTAACTATAACTAGAAGTCTAAAACTTGTGACCAAATTATCATCAGGCACTCCAGGAAGTGAGCCTCAATAAGTTTTCATATCAGCTATATACTTGTACATTATGAGGTAGCCACTTCAAAATTAATTGTACAGAAATGCCTGTAAGAAATGTATCTGATTCTCCAGGAAGAGTACTGCTTCTTTGACTTTATGAATAGATGTTCCTGGGCCGAGCCCGTGGCGCACTCGGGAGAGTGCAGCGCTGGGAGCGCAGTAGTGCTCCCGCCACGGGTTCGGATCCTATATAGGGATGACCGGTGTGCTCACAGCGCTCACTGGCCGAGTGCGGTGCTGCCAGTCTCAAAAAGGACAAAAAAAAAAAAAAGTGAATAGATGTTCCTAATGTTTCTAATAAAAACTTACTATATCCTATGGAGTTAGAATGACATATTCTTACTATAATTGAGAAATATGTTTGAAATAAATGTTTCCAGTGATACACAGCCATAAATCTCATTTTCTTTCCCATGTCAAAATGTTAACACAGATTTATTCTTCTGGGGAGACAAGTGAAGAGAGTCGCTCTGCCTTTTTGCAGCCAGTGGTTCTCTGTGGAACACTGGGGCATTTTAGTCATAAGAACACAGAATTTTCAAGCTAAAAGAAAATGTTACAGAGCAAGTCAATCCCTTCATTAAACTTGAGAGACAGAAATCCTCACGTTGCAGACTGGTCAAGTCATATGCCCAAGCTGACACAATTAATTGGCAGAAGAACTGAGGAACTAATATAATTAAGAACTCCTGGGAATCCTGACCCCCAGCTCAGTCCCAGGTTCCTTCCACTAAATCAAGTGCCAAACACAGAATGTTTTGAGTCCTATATGTTAACATTTACCAGAAAAGGTGCTAGAAAACACTGTAATTCTCATTAGCTTTGAATGTTTGTCTTATTATCTATACTGATTGAAAAGAACTCACTTCCAATGCGTAATAGACTGGTTTGTCTCTGCCAAGTTTGTAAGCCACTGTGGTTAGAAGGCCGTGTTCAGAAAATACACACTGTAGGAAAGAAAAAAGAGATTTCAGTAATAGAGAAAATGAAAAGATAGCATAAGAATATTTTTAAAAACTAAAACAATACAGGTACAAAATAATCTAATGAATAAACCAATTAAATAAATCTTAGTCAAAATTATCAGTATTAAGAAGAATACACTTAAGCTGTACAAAGTTTTTCCCTTGTTTCAAATTAGATTTGCATTAAGAATCTGACATGGTCCCAGTCTAGACTTCACATCAACATAATTAGAAACACACATATAAAATTCAAAGAACCTAAAATGGTTCCTACTAGAACCATTCAAATTTCACAATTTGCATCATTTTATTGAGCTCTAAATTAAACCCTAATAAAGATTAAATTAACACTGAATACTCAAAAGTGACTTAATGGCAAATTATACTCAAAGCATTATTTATATTAACTTAAAGAAGACTTTTATCAATCTTTTAATTTTAAAAAACCAACCTTACGGCCTGTATTACATAGTAAGAAACATCCTGTTCCATACCTATAGTTGGGAGAAGAATGAACAGTATGGCAATTTTATTGAAAGTAAATGATGAAACATTAATAATATAAATGATCTAAATTGACATATAATTTAATACAATAAAAGTCATTATATTAAAGTTGTAGAAAAGTCCCCAAAGCTTAACAAACATCATACTCTTTATAGAATAAATGTTTTAAAGATCAGTCTAAAAGAAAACGTACTTAGTACAATCTTACAGGAAAAAATGCAGGTATAGTATTTAGCATTTAGTCATAGCCCAGGGCTAAGTTTATAGAATACCACTGAATTACAACAAATTCTACATTCAGTCGCAGTTATGTTACTACTAATCTATGTGGATTGAAGCATCGTGACTAACAGCCATTCACCAATGGAGCTGGCCAGCTTAGTTCTATCATTAATACAGTCATAAACTGAGAAATGCCACTGTCTTCTGGCAGGGAGAGGAGGCTAGGTGCCGTGTGGGAGAGTGTTGCTGGAAAGCTGGTACAAGAGTGGCATCGAGGGGAAGGCTATTTAAGGCCTCCCTTTCCCATTTTCTCTGCAGGATAGGGCATTAGAGCAGTGGTGGGAGAATCAGAGCCGTGTAACACGGCTGACATGGAAGAACCGAGTTTATTTTGTGGCAGCCTTATCAGTATAAACTTTGGACTCTGCAACAAGTCTGGCACTTGGACATAAATGGGTATTTTTGACTTGTGTCAGGCAGATAAGCAGCCCTACCTGATAACAGTAAGGGTCACAGAGAAACAGTTTTAAACTTAGTTGGGATAACAAAGCTGGCTCAGCTCCAGCTCAGGCTTCCCTCCCCACAGGTCATGCAGTTGTGCTCTGCATCACCACAGTTCTAACGGTGTTGGTGAAATTCCAGCAGGTGGGAGAAGGGAGAGTGCTCAGTCCAGGGGCTGGCAGAAGGATCTAGCAGAAGCTACCACCAGTCAGTACTAAGTCACAAATCCCATCAGCTGCCTTCCATCAGTTGCCTGTGCAACAAGCACAAACCGAGGGCAATTTTTTCCGATCAACATTTTTCCAGGCACCATTGTTCTGAATAAGGATTAGCCCAAGATATTCTATTTCTTCTCACCCAGATATATTCTTGGCCTGCTTAATGAACATTCAGGGAGTGTGGGACCAATGAATATCTAAGTTTGCAAAGACACTTGTCAACACCAGGTACAGGTAGTACATTTACAAACTAAAACATAAATCACTTCGCCTTTTTACTGCCACAACACTGAAAAAGCTTTATATTTCTAGCTAATCCCTTTTAATAAATATTCATAAAAATCGAAGTTAATTATCTATTTTATGCTTTTTAAAGGAGAAATCTACCAATTTAGCACCCAGATAAACGCTCTTTATACTGAATGGTTGTATGCAAGCCTTTAAGTACAAAACTAATGAGAAGGCTCAGGGTACTTAGTAAAAGTGAATTTTTAACTTAGTCTACTTAAGTAATTAATGAATATTATCAATACATGAAGAGACTTCTTTGCTACATTTACTCCACAGCTTTCAAAGCAGTACCCAGGCAATTATTTTCCTCTTAAATTTTATTATTCTTTCTTCGAAGTCATCAAGCACGTATGGTGCTTTCAGCATTTATGTGGTCTACCTAGCCTTCCTCAACATTGTACTGTGTTCAAACATCCCAGAAAGATGTCTGACTTTCTAACCTCTGCAGAGAAAAACGTTGTTTGATCTCCCTCATGACTATTAGATCAGGACTGAGCAGTCTAGAGAGGTGTGCCCAAAACGGCCCAGTACAGGGCAGGGTGAGTGGCCCTGGGTGAAACCATAGAGACTTTTTATTACACCCAGTCAGTGCACATGGGGAGATGAGACAGCCATCTTAGGTTCTCTTTCCGAAAAACAGAATTTAATGTTTAAATAATCCATGTTCATTCTAAAAAAAAATTAGAAAATACAGCTAAACTAAAAAAAAAAAAAAATTAGAATCATCCACAATTGTTCTCCCACCCTGAACCAGAGATGGCCTTTCCATTGAATTCTGAGCTGACTGTCATTTTCTCCCTGCTGAGTTTGGGAAAGATTAACTAAATTCTCAATCCCAATCCCTCCAACCTCTTAGGATTTCATTCTGCCCATCACTGTCTCCCATTTATTTTACAATTTCCATCTGTTCTCTGTTCGGACTCTGAACAATCTCGGACTTATCACAACTTAAAAATAAAAACAAACAAAATCCTCAGAATGTTGCATAATCCTGTTAACCTCACCAACTGTCAAATTCTCTCACTGTTCCTGGATGGTTGTATTTTTATAAAGCACTTTCTTTCTTGCTGTCTCAATTTTGACCATTTGCAACCTGGCTTCCATCTTGAGCATTCTACTAAAACTTCACTCTTGGAGTCACCAAACGAAGACTTAATTTCTAATGGTCTGTTCTTGGTTCTCGGCCTGCATCACCTCTCTGTGGTATTTTGTGCTGCTAACCATGCCTTCCTCTTAAATATCTCTACCCTGGATTTCCACACTAATGAATAACAGCATTCTATTTTTCTGATTTCTCCATCCTGGTGTTTAAATATCTCCTCTCTCCCTGTAGGAGGGTACTTCAAAAAGTTCGTGGAAAAATAGAATTAAAAGATAATATGGTTTGGATCCCTGTACCTGCCAGCCACCCCCAAGGAATGTCATCTATTCCTGTTGATTTAAAATCACCTCCATATAGGGGAAATCAAGAATTTCTATTTTTTTTTTTCCTTTTTGCCTTTTTTCGTGACCGGCAACGGATCGCAACCCTCAGTGTCGCGCCCGTACCGGACCGGGACCAGGACCGGCAACAGGATCGCAACCCTCGGTGCCGCGCCTGCACCTCGCTCAGCCAGTGAGCGGCCGGTCTGTATGTGGGATCCGAACCCTCGGCGGGAGCGCTGCCGCGCTTCCCAAGCGGTGCACTGTAGCAGTGCGCCGCCGGGCCAGCCCAAGAATTTCTACTTTTATACTGAACTCATTTCACATTTCCAAATATGTGCAATATATAGCCTGCCAGTACCATAAATATGCTCCAAACAGAGATTCTTCTACTCAGACCTATTCATTACTTTGTCTAGAATGTTAGACAGACATTCCATGGTGTCCAGGTACCTAGACTCTATACCTACTTCCTTTCCCTTGCTCCTCTGCAGTGCCATGCACGTCCACCCACAGCCTCCTTCTTTGTCCCCATCCTTCCCAGTTCACGGCCTCATTACTGGGACACCTCTTTGCCTCTAGTCTCTGCTCACAGTGACCCAGGACTGCTATATTATTAACTGACAACTCCAGTCATCTCTGAACACGAGCTCATAAACCTTCAGGAGTTTCCCACTGCCTCAAAGAAAAAAATCCCATAGCCTGAAATTTAGGGCTTCATAACTTGACTATCTAGCCTTATTTTCTACCACTTCCTTATCCTAATGTTCTTTACATTCTTGAAACAAAGTCTTCAATTTCCCTATCTTTGTTCAACGTTCCCTGCATCCCTCAATATTGCTCATTTTTCAAAGCATCTCATTGCTAACATAATCTTTTGTAACTTTTTTTCCTTCCCTTGGAAGCCCAACGGCATGACTTCAAAGTTTCTTATGGCACATAAGTCCTGATTTATGTGATTAACTGTATATTTATGTTCTTTCCCCTCAGGGAGAGAAATATGAGATCAAAGATCTTATAATTTGCTATTTCCCTCCTTCAACTTGCAGTAGCTGCAGAGGTACTCAAACAAGCACTCTCTAACTTCAATTCATTATTAAGGACTTGGCTGATAATGCTTAAGAGGGAGGGGAGTAGTGAGAGGAGGAAAAGCAGGCTATTTTATTGGGCACCTACTACCATGTGCTATAAACAAGGTCTCTTCAAAAAATTAATGGAAAGATTTGGATTATCTCTCAATTCCATTTTCCTACGAACTTTTATTTATTTATTTATTTTTTTTTGGCAGCTGGCCAGTATGGGGACTCAAACCTGTGCCCCTAGTGTTATAAGGCTGTGCTCTAACCAATTAAGCTAACCGGCCAGCCTCTATGAACTTTTTGAAGTACCCTCGTACTCTGCGAGGCACTTGATGTTATATAGATAGCATCTGACTTACTAGCATTAGTGTTCCCGGCAGAGGAGAGAAGGGGGAAAATAGCTTAGTTTTCTATCTTATTTCTCTTGACTCCTGATTCAGCTGCCTGGAACCCAGATTCAGAGAATATTTCCAGACTCATACTGACTCAGACGCTCCTGATTGTGTCCTCAGGTTACCATGACCTATAAAGAATTGCATACCCCCACTTCCTGAAACACTCCCACAGGAATAATGTCACACTGGTGCGTGAGGACTGTGGACCCTGCTAGACTACAAGAATGTTTAATCTAGAAATGTTAGACATTCCTTATTCACAAAAGAAGAACTTTAACCACTGAAGTTAAAATTGAGGAGAGAATAAGGAAATCCTCAAGAAAAGAATAATTCAGTGTAGATCTCTTGCCAGGTCTGTGAAAAGCTCTTTTACACAGGGGGCAGTGAAGTACATAGGTTAAGAGCCCTGGCTGAGGAAAGAGATGGATCTGAATGCAAATATTGCATCTCCCACTTGCTAGCTACACGACTTTGCATCAATTAGTTATCTTCTCTAATTCTTGCATAAACTAGTTATTTTCTCTAATTTTCAGTTTCCTGGTTTATAAAATGGGAATAATAAGATTTGTAAGTAGATTAAATGACATAACATGTTTAAAGCACATGGATTATCTTCTAACAGCCATTGGCTGAGCTTGTATTATAATTATCACTATTATTTCAGCTTCTGAGATCTATTTCTTTCTGCCCATCAATATGTGTAAAAGGTAGGTAGTTTTGGGGTTTTTTTTTTTTCAATGTTTAAAAGATTACCTTCAGAAGGAAAGAAAGACCACAGTAGTGCAGTGGTCTTACAGAGGGAGGGAACATTCTTAAGGCTGCAAAGCAGAGTGGGGGAAGAGGGTGGTTGGGGGGCACAATTGGGTGGGGACACGGTATAAAAGCAATTTCTGGTAATTTGTATCTCATGAATATTCATAATAATCAAATAAATAAATAAATAAATAAAAGATTACCTTCAAATAAGTATAGTCAGTGATGTAAATGAGAAAGAACGCCAGACTCAGAGTCAGAAGGCATGGGCTGGCGATCGAGCTCTGCCTTTGAGTCAAGGTTATGACCTTAGGCAAGCACTTAACCTCTCTGAGCATCTGTTTTCTCATCCTAAAGTGGGAGTCACCTTCTTATTCCTCTTAGATATAGGGCTTATTCCAGACTCTGCATGTATGAGTAGTTAGGAGAAGAGATGAGGGGAGAAATACACCAAATCTCTACTTCTGTCATTCTTTCTACATCTTGTCAAAAAGAGAAACTTCAGATAATAGGGAGAAAATATAGTGCCAGGAAAATAACCTTGAAAAATCCCACAAAAATATGACTTTATAGTTATAGTGAGAAAGACTTAGGCAGAAATAATATGCTGAAAATTGTAGTACCTCTTCCCAGCCCCACCGCACCCCCTCCCTGGCCCCACAAATCTCCCCCAAAAAGGCAAGAATACTTTAAATGAAAATTTAGTTTCTGGGATAGAAAACATATTGGATTTTATAAATTAAGGTCTTTATAAACCTTATTGGCGTGTTTACATATGGCATAATGTATTTTACTTGAAGGAGATAAAGAAAAACAAATGGTAAAAAATTTATACATCCATATTGGAGCTATTAAAAGCCACTGATTTTCAACCTGGATGAACTTCAAAAGCCTTTCCTCATTCAAAGCACCAAAGGGAGAAAAGAAATAAAACAGCATTGGTTTTTAAGCATGTTTCTTAAACTCACGTATTTTTGGCTTGTCCATCCTTGAAACACATTTGTCCCACCAGTGCAGCAGACTGGTCCCCCAAACACTGAAAATATAAATGACAATAAAAAATACTGACTAACACAATATTAATTTCATTTTTAGAAGAGCCACAGGATTTATTTTTCCTTTTTTATTTATCAAGGAATGGATTGTCTATGTTTCTTGCATTTCCTCCACCTGGCCACTTTTCCCACTTTTTAATACCCCTACAAGATAATAGTTACGGGAAGGGAGAATTAGAATTAATTTATTCAAAAGATTCTAAATGGCCCACACTGTGTCAGGTAAAAACAAGAATTAGACAATTAGCCAATTTTGCTGCTCTTACTTGTTTCCCCTAGTTTAGGAAGAAGTAGACATTAAAACAGAAGAGAAATCCATAACGTGGAACGGGGGGGATGGTGGCAGGGAGATGTTTGGTGGTGAAACTTACCCCAGATATTGGCACACCTTCCAAGGCCCCAGCTTTCTAATAAAATTTTAAAAAAAGGATTATGAATAATTACAAACTTTTGGCTCTACTAACATAACTGCAACAGGAATGAACACAAATAGCAGGGTGCCAGAGGATGTGGGCAGACGAGACAAAGCAAGTGTTTCAACTACATGAGTGGTACAGAGACAGATACTAGAAGTACTCCTGGAATGGCAATAAGAAACATGGCATTGGAGAATGAACATGAAACACTGGACTGGGAGTCAGGAGATGGGGCTCTACTCCTGGTTAGTTAGTGTTAAGCCATGAGCAGGCTACTGAAACCTCTCTATGCCTCAACTTACCTATGAAATGGAGACTGGGCTACATAATTGCCAAGTGCATTGATGCTTTGCTGTTATTGCCATTATTTAAAGAATAACTAATGTATCCTTTAAATAGCTCCCAAATCAGCATGCAACATATTTATTTTGGAAGGCTATACTTTACCAACTTGTCTTTCTACCCAAGCTCCTCTTGAGTAAGAAACACAAGAGTGTTCAGGTATTGGATATTATTTGCTCATAGCAAACATCATTCTTCAAATTTAGATAAGCAACAGTTATTTTATGTCACAAATAGTGGTTTTTATTTTGATCAATATGGCCAGCATTCTAGGAAGAAAAACGAGACTGACTGTGGCTGACTTTACAAACTTAATTTTTAAAAGACATACACCAGCACAAAGCAATTTTTACTGATATTAAGGAATTAGAGGAATTAAGGCATGTGATCTCTGAAGCAGGGGTGATATACTAGGAGAAGCACAGAACTAAAAAGCTGTGGACTGACTCCTCAGTCTGCCATTTGTGAGCAAGTCTCCTGAGCTCTGGGAGCTTTAGGCTCCATATCTGTTAAAGGGAGGAGAAGAATAGAATCCGCCTCACATGACTATGATCATAAGGAGATAAAAGCATATATGTGGAAACCCTTAACAAAACAGAAAATGCCCTCTACATAGCTGGTATTATTTTATTTCTTTTATGCTTTCTGGTTGATTCAAGACCTGCTATTTTTAATTACTGTATGTATTTTTTGAAAATCTGAAACTAGATACTAAGTAAAGGGTAAATTTCATAAAAGGCTTAGAATCAAGAGGAAACATAGAGACTGTGTATCTTGACACATTTAAATACTAAAAAGAAGTCTTTGCTTATACTTTGGAAATTATCAAACTATCAGCAGGATCTATTATATGTGTTCACGGATGTACAGTGCTCCTTTTTCTTCACAAGGAGAGGCCTCTGGAGGATTCCTGGAACATCCTCTGATGAAGCATGCAGAAAAAGTGACAGTGCGTTTCCAACTAAATGGTCTGAAAGGTTGGTCAACAGATCATTTAAGGTAGATGTTTGGGACATTTAAAAACTAATTTCCCTATTATGCTAAAGCCCAAAGCACATCACAACTGTACTTTGTAACGGGGAACATCAGAATCTCTCATTCTGGGAAACTTAAGTCTTTTATTTTAGAAACATCACTCTCAGTCTTATTGAAAACTTAGAAAACAAACTAAGTTATTTTTTTAAAAAAGAAAAACTAAAATGTGACAAGAGCTTATAATGATTTGGAGGGCATGGAAATTCTAGACACATCTACTCAGTAAATGAACCTCTTTTTGTCTAAAACTCAACGGAAATGCACTGTATCTTTTCCATGTGAATGGGTAGCATAATTGGTGGGCAACCTACTCACCAGGCTATGAGAGATTTTCTATAGTCAGCAAGGGGGAAAAAGGGGACAGAAGCAGAATATTTTAAATGCACAGAAAACTAGGCCAGTTAATTTCTTCAACCATCCTCTGAAACTATTTCAAGAATATTTTCTTTTTCTCTGACTCAAGTTAGTTTGTTGACAGCTATGAAATTATCGAAGCACTTTTATTATAGAGAAGTAGTGACAATGCCTCCCTTAAGAAATTCCATGTTGTGCTGTCCGGTTAGCTCAGTTGGTTGGAGAACAGCCTTACAACCCCAAGGACATGGGTTCAGATTCCCATACCGGCCAGCCACACCCACAAAAAAATCCCATGTTGCTTTAAAAAGCTTTATTATAAATGAAATAGTTAAAAATTTTTGCTCAAGGGCTGAGCCCGTGGCGCACTCGGGAGAGTGCGGCGCTCCCGCCACGGGTTCGGATCCTATATAGGGATGACCGGTGCACTCACTGGCTGAGCGTGGTGCGGCCGGTCTCAAAAAAGGCCAAAAAAAAATTTTTTTTTGCTCAAGCTTTATCCAGAGCACTTAGTGTTCAACTCTATTATTATTAACTCTATAAGTGGAGTTTCTAATATTTCTTATGAAATGCCTAAACAATATTTTTTGCAATTTATCTGAGATTAATTCTTAAGTTTAATTATAAATTCCAGATTTTTGTACTCAAAACACCGGTTCATATCTTCCTAGAGGTTTTCATTCCTCACGTTTAACCAGACTCTCAATAATGCTAAGTGTACTTTTTTGCTGAAAGTACTTTTTTTCTGGATTTCAATAACAGCAACAGTAAAAATGTCCATTTATGGTAACCAGTTTAATTAGCAATCCTAAATCAGAAGCAGACTCTTTGCTTTCGTTTTCTTGGTGACATTTTGCTTATGCTGACAAAGAACCTAATATATAACATGTTTGGCCAATAAAAGAGTTTCAACAAAAAAAGAACGCCCTCCTGTGAAGAGTCCCTCCTCTAAATTAAAAGCAGACATCACAACTCCTAAACAGTTATTTGGATTGAAAGAATAAACTGGCTCAAATATTCCCATGCCACTGTGTGGAGTTAGGTTACCCCATTAATACTTTAAAAAACAATAATACTCAAAGAAAGGACAATTCAAGTTTATAAATATAAAATCAACTGGTAAAAAGTACTTGAAGGTTTTTATATTATAAAACTATTTAAACAATACTAAATTCTTATTTTACACACTATCAACATTCATAGAGAGTCACAAATCCCAAACTATAAAACATAATTGACTTTTGAATTTCCAATAGTAAAGTATTTTTAATGAAAAAGGATTTTTTTTTTTTCTTTTTTACCATTAGGCCATAGATCTCAGAAGAACTCCGAACATTTGGAAGAATTTCCATTGGAATCCCAAAAAATCTGAAAAACAATAAGATTGGGTATATAACACTATTTTAAATACAAATCTAGAAACATTGGGCCGGCCCTGTGGCTCACTCGGGAGAGTGCGGTGCTGATAACACCAAGGCCAAGGGTTCGGATCCCACATAGGGATGGCCGGTTAGCTCACTGGGTGAGCATGGTGCTGACAAATCTAGAAACATTTATATGTATTTAAAGGCAGAAAATATAAATAACAATTAGGAAATGGATATATTTGAGCAGAGTTAAATAGTAATAAATACATAAGCCAGCAGAACATAGCTGTATGCTTAGATGTTTAACATTCTAAATTTATGCAACCAAATCAATAAAAATGTAAAAGCACAAAGAAACCAAAGTATTTTTAAAGGAACTTAATGTTCTGTGAAGAATAATTAATTTGGCTTGTTTATTATATATGCAGTAGTCTCTCTTACACCCACTCACACAACATGGACTTGCATATTGTAATTGAAATATTAAGAAGTTAAATTTTGGTGCTCTGCTGACACCTGAAAATAGTTTTAGGTTATATATAGGTAACACATTGGGAAAACTATACTTAGGGCAAAACACAACTCACTCGCAGAGTTCTTTATCCCAGTCCAAAGAATGAATATTGAAAAGCATCGTCCTGCTTGCATTTGTTACATCCGTACAGTGGACACCTCCATTTACTCCTCCTGTCAAACTCTAGACAGAATATAATAAAGGACAGGTTAAATGTGCACTTACTTACAATCTAATTTACACGTTAAGGGCCATATCATCAGCAGAGCACATACAGCAGGAGAATGGAACATCTCAATTATTTTGTTTTCAGCAACATCCAACAGACATAAAATGTAAGCCACATATGTAATTTAAAATTTTCTAGTACCTACATTAAAAGAGTATAAAGAAATAGGTAAAATTGATTTTAATACTGTATATTTTATTTAACCTAATATACCTAAAATATTGTTTCAACATATAATCAATACAAAAAATTATTAGAGCCATTTTACCTTCTTTTATTTTGTACTAGTCTTTGAAATCTGGTGTGTATTTTACACCCACAGCACATCTCAATTTGGACTGACCACATTTCAAGTGCTAAGTAGCCCCATGTGCCCAGTGGCTACTGTATTAGCGCAATTCTAGTTAATTGATGGTTAAACAAAAAATTAGTTTTGTTTTTATCTTCTACCTTTGGAAAATTCACAGTCTTTAAATTTGGCAAGGTGCAATACATTCTCCTAAGGGTCTTAGAGAACACTGTGGTGTTGTTATCTCTTTAGTTTTTTGTTTTGTTTTGTTTTTTTGAATAACAATTCACATTGGGCTGTGTCTGCACTGACCCAAACATATATCCTGAAAGCAGAGTTTTAAACTCTCTAAGGTTAACACCCTTGTGCCTGAACTAGAAGCACTGCTGCCTTCCTTTATGTGGAAGCAATAAGAGGTAAGAAAGAACAAAGGTGGATAAAGAGCATCCCACAGGGTACAGCCAAAATGTGCTCCCTTGAGTCTCCCGTGGCTCACAGTTCTCACATCCTGCCTTCCTCTGGTTTGAGGCAACTATCAGAGCTACTCATTCAACTGTGACTGACAGAAGTGAGCCATGAGCACAAAGCACAACCTACACTGGGAGGGGTGGAGAAGGTACCTCTTCCTGGTAGCAGTTTGGAAAAACCTGCTCTGTGGATCCAGCAAGTGAAAAATCAGGACAATATTCCCTTGAAGTTCTCTTGAACATTGAGAAAGATCATTACATACTTACTGAAGAATTTACAAATGAAATCATATGTCTGGGATTTGATTTAAACTTATCTGTGCGGAGAAAGGTTGGCTATAGGTTGATGACTGCAGCTGGCTTATTGTTGGAGAGGTTCGTTACACTTGTCCCTCTACTTTGGGGAACACTGAAAAATGCCCATAATAAAAATAACAGAGAATGGGAGAGACACAGAGAGAGAGAGACACAGAGAGAGACAAAGAGAGAAACGGAGAGAGAGAGAGAATCACCATAGGACATGTACTTTGAAGATACATCTTGCAATGTTTGAACTGCTAGTTTCTACTCATTTATGTTCAGCTTAGACAAAAAAAATATTATGGTTCAGTTTTCACTATGATTTAGTTTCATATTATGGCTTGATTATACAAGAGACAGCTATGTAATGTTGAAAGGAAATGATAAATGTAGCCTTGATGTTTTATCATGTTAAACAGTTATGTCTTCTAAGAAATGGCTAGTGGGAAAAAAAAGTATGGGATAGGCAAGAGAGAAAGGCTACCTAAATTACTTATCCTAAAGGTAGCAGATATGAGATATAGTTTTGGTAATTATCCTCTATTTTCACTGAAATAAGGCAAGGAAAAATACAGAGGAAGTAGGCAAAAATGCCTTTCAAATGGAGACCGTAATGTTCTGCTGTTTCTTGAGTGGTTTTTCTTAACAATGCTGCTAACTAAAAAGTTTAAACTGTTAGTAAAAACAGGAGGCAAGGCAGTCTAAAAAAATTCCTGAAAAAAATTCTCCATACATTCAGTGTATTTAAACATACCCAAATAAGCCATGAATCAATGGTCCCAAAAAGAGCTCTATTTTCTTCAACAGCCTTTTGAACTTTTCTCACATTGTCAAGGAGCCAACGAAGTTTCAATGCACTGAAGTAAGTGCTAAGTGGAAGGCCTGTCTTGGACTAAAACAGTTATGAAGTCAGCAAATTAAAGTTTTAACAGTTTAAAGCAAACCAAAGAACTAAACAAATCACAAAACATTCAATGTCCCTAAAGTCAGTCCCATGGTATTATGAATGAAAATGCTTTCCCTATCTCATGGCGCAGGAAAGTGTGTTCATAAACAAAAATCAGGGCAATATATTTGCAGTTCAAAGAGCATCCATGTAGCAAGGTGAAGAGAAAATTAAATAACCCAGTGTCCTATAATTAGAGAGTGACAAAGTAGATGTTAACTTTTTCAATAAATTAGTATTATGCTCATATGTAGAACCTAGTACAAAACTCTGCTATTTATTTTATATTCCAGGTAAGTGCTATCTAAACTACTGAAAATCAGAGAGTATATCAAATTACAAAGTAATGACCGTAACCAAAAATTTTGTTTTCAAACACATAAGACTTAATAACAATAATATATTTTTGTGTACATACACACGTATATTCAAATAACAGAAGTCATATAAAATTAGTGAAGACTAAAACAGAGCTCAAAGACATGCCAGATTAAAGTAACAGAGTGGCTCTATGTAAAAAAAGTAGTTGCCTAAATTCAGCAAATACATTTGAGCAGAGGGAATGTGGACTGAATAAAGGTTAAAGAGTAAAAAAAAAAAAACACATATGGACTTATCCATCTTCCCTGAGAATGGGTCAGGTCGAACTCTTATGTTAGTACATGAAATAACAAATTTATTTATAAAAGCTAATTAAAGTTAAGCAGTTAAGAAAATACATACACAACAGTAATGCAACTCTTTCCTCTCCCCTGATCTCTATTCTCATTTATCACCTAACTACAGAAAGTGATACCTTCTTTCTTATCTCATCTGAGTATGTTTCCTAAGAAAACTCAAACCAAAGGATCTGACATTTTAATGCAACCTATAAGTTAAGGTTTTCTAGCTTTCCTAGAAAAAGAAAAGAATCAATGCTCAAAAATAATGGAAGGAAATATTTATGGAAATATTATTTGATTTGAAGGACCAAGGGTCATCGCACAAGATGACTCAGAAAGATCCCACAAGCCAACAGTGAGGTAGTTCATAGTATCTTATTGTCACGATATAGGTAGAAAGTGTAAAAAGTTGCCTGAAGTGGCACTGGAGACAAAAACATGCAACCCTTGAAGCAAAGTGCAAATAGAGGTGAGGTGAGGGTTAGGCAGGGTGACAAAGAAAACAAAATAGGAAATGGGTAAGGGTTTATTTAGGACAAGCCTGAAGTTATCTGGGTGGGAGGGGGAGCACGAAACGGTTTGTTAGATTGCTGCAATTAATGGGATTTGAACACTAGTTCCAGAACCAAGGACCAAAAGAAAATGCCATAAATGTCCCACTGAAAAATGAAAAGGGGATAAACAGAAAGAAAGAGAGAGAGAAACAGGAGAGAGGGAATTTCCTTTTGCATACTAGAACTTGGCCTTGACCTTACTAAGAAAAATGCCTTGCCTATTTCAAAAATTCTTTCTCTCTTCATTTATCTGAAGAGAGATCTATATAAGGACTGAAAATTAGGCAATTTTTATTAGCCTTCTTCATATAAAGAAAGTGAAAGAGGGTAGATAAAAGGGTAGAGTGTCTTCTACTTTCTCTCTCTCCCTGAATCCAGGTGCCTAAAAACTCAAAGGCACTCAGAACTTTTTCTGAAGGGCAGTAGGAAACAATAGGGATGGATTTGGAAAGCATGGTTGAGTTACAGAAAACACCCCTTGGAGAGTATGGCTTAAGCCACTGGGACACATTTTAATCTCCTCCAGCCTGTCTACGTTGGGGTATTATTGTTCCAATCCATCACAGGGCAAGAAAGACAGGAAGGTAAAGACTTGAGTTGGCCACAAGTATCTGCGGGAAATAGGGAAATATTCTATAAATTGTATCAAATAACTACTGTGCCGTCACATGTAAGGCCTAGATAGTCTTTCTGGGAGACCTGCAAACTTTTTTTTAAAAAAACAAATATTCTTATAGTATACTTTTGAAGAGATCTCTTACCTTGACAAAGTTATTGTTTCCTGGAATTCTTTTACTAAGAATCTCAACGGTAGACTGGGTTCTTAGATCAAGCCACACTATAGACCAAAATATAATAATATATATAAAAAAACTTCATTAAAAAATAAAAAAATAATGAAATCACTGTCAAGGATAGGAGACTGGTTAGTTTCCATAAGCAATTAAAATGCTATAGGTTTCAACAGATAGAAATTAGAAAATTAGAGATGAATGGGCATATTGTTAATATAAGGGAGAATTTAAAGTTTTTATGCAAAATTACAGACCAAGTTAGGAGAACAGTACAAACCTTAGGATGCTTATTTTGTATTCTTTTTACAGAAAAAAACCTACCAAAAAGTGTTTGAAATATAGATTTTCTAAGTATATGAGGGGTCTTGAAAAAGTTCATGGCAGGATTTTTTTTTTTTTTTTTTTTTTTTTTTTGGCTGCTGGCTGGTACAGGGATCAAACCCTGGACCTTGGTGTTATCAGCACCACACTAACCAACCGAGCTAACCAGCCAGCCCCTGTGTTATCTTTTAATTCAATTTTCCACAAACTTTTTGAAGTACCTTTGTACCTGAGTACAGGGAAGATCTAAAAGCTAGGCAGGCTAGCTGACAGTGCAAAATGCACTGCCTAGGATCACTGTACCATGAACGAAGTGTGTATCTTAGAAAACTTGTGGGCAATTTGTGACAAAGTAGAGAACGTGATCCTGTTACTGAACAATTGATTCAGTCTCTCATGTATAAAGTGCTTTAATTATGTTAAAATCTTTCAAAATATGCTAGACCTAGAAGCGTTGTGAAATTTTTTTTAAAGTCATCATTCTTTCTTCACGCTGTATTGTAAGAAAAAAATCTCCATTTTAACGGATCAACATTATCTCCACTAAATAGCTATTTTCCACTTTCTGATCCCCTAGTAGAAAGTAATTGTTTTGCTTCATGACAGAGGGCTTGAAAAGGAAAAAGCATTAAATAGCACATAAAGCAACCTTTATTTGTCAGATTTAAGTTTTGTACTTAACTTTTATAACTTTTACTGTACTAGCGGTCACTCGATATCTAGGACACTACCCGTGCTCAGATGCCTCATGAAAAAACTCAGGCCCATAAAGGATTCCAGGGAGGATTACACAAGCTTGCCCACTACATGCTTCAATGCAGGCAGTTATTGTCTAGTTTGGTTCACTCTTGACTATATTATTCTGTTCTCTTCACTTTAAAACCAGTTCTTTCCTGTTGTGAATTTTAATCAATTTTTTCTAATTACTTACACTGTCATTTCCCTTCAGGGCCCTGTGCTTGATTTTGACAGTGGCTACTTCCCATGAGATTTAAATTGAGAACTTCAGGACATGATACTGGTTTCCACAGGTGTGAAAAGCAGCAAGAAAAGACTCATCACAACCACGAAAATCGGAAAAAGAGGAAGACCGTGAACATCAGTGGCCTGTAGAAGACCATGTGCATTTGCTGCCCAGCAACTACTCTCCTGCATCCGGGAGCACTATCTCAAATTCTCTTTGGGAAATTAGCCCTTTCTCTTTCTAACCTATGTGGTTTGCCTGAGATTTGACCCTACCCCCAGTGCCACTATTGGGGCTAGAGCCCAGTGATTGGTTCTGGACAGCCTGTGGTCATAAAGCTCAATTGAGATTTGTGCTCAGTCTCCAGGAGTCCCTCTTCTCAGCAAAGCTCGGCAGTGTGTGGCTTAGACTTGCTGCCTTCATGAAGGCAGAACTGACCCTGCCACATCTGGAGCTACCCCAGAAAAGACAGACTTGAGGGGGAGCTAGGTGATATTGTCTGAGTCCAGAATCAAATAGCAGCTAAAGTAAGCTATACTGTTGGATCACTGGTTCCATGAGCAAAATAATTCCCCCCCCCCTTTTTTTAAACTTCACTTATTGGAAACATCAACATGGAGGTGGCGAGGTCTCCCATGTCCAGGGAACATGGGCAGTCTACTTCTTACCCAGTGGCAGTTTTGTATGACTGTGATAAAAATGGACCTTCCTTCCAGGCAAGCAACCTAACAGATGATATATTGGCTTAACAGGAGTAATAGGAAAAAGTAGAATTAGAAAGAAGTGTTTTAAATCTGTGATAGGCAGAATTCACAAGCATATCTCAATCCTCAGTGTTTCAAACTACAGTGAGATAGGAGTTTAAAAATCAATTTAGTGAGTTTTGATTACCTACTTTAAAAAATGAAATAGAATGGATTAGAATGGAAAATATCAGAGTCCATGCACTTGGTAAGATAAATATTGATCTGTAAAACTTTTGTTTTAGTTATCTGGGCTTGCTGAATCATGATGTAAAACATTTTTTTACCAAGCAACACAAACAAATATATTTGAAAGCCACTTCTCTAGGCTTTTTGTTGAATCACTTAAAACCTTGTAGACCAGTGTTTTTTCTTATTTTAATGGGCATACATTCACTAGGAAGCTTAACAATGGACCCTATCCCCAGAAATTCTGGGATAGTAGGTCCTGGAATGGGCCCAGAAACCCGCCTTTTAAATAAGTGCCCTACTTTGAGAAATACTGCTAGACTCCACAGCAGTGGTTCTTACCTAGAAAGCATACCAGAACCACCTGGAAAACTTTGAAATAACAACTCCATGCCCTACCTTGCAGGATTCTGATTGCAGGTCTAGGTAAGGCCTGAGCCTCTGCACTTTTGTTAAAAGTATCCCAAGTTATTCAGCATAATACTAAAACCCAAGAACTTCTTTCCTAGGCCATGTTCTTTAGGATACTAGGTGTGTTCCAAACATTTATATAAAAACAAAACTAAAAAACTGACAATCAGGTAGCTGCCTGAGTCCCAATGGCTCTGTGACTCTATTGTTCCTTGACAAGAACAACTTAGGTAACTGGGCTCTTTATTCCTTACTTGAAAGCTTACACTTATGACTGACAACAGTAGCATCCACACAGTTAAATCCTCACTACAACAAATCTAAACACTGGATGTGAAATCAGGAGACCAAAGTTCTATGGTTTGGCTTTGCCACCAACAAGCTATGTGACTTAGGCAGATCATTTTACCTTTCTTGCCTGGATTACCTAAATATAAAATAAGGAGGCTGGACTAGATGGTCTCTAAAGTCCTTCTGTTTCAATTGTTCCATGATCACAGAAGGCTGTCATGATATTTACTTTGTTTTTATGGCCAAAGACTTAAAGGCAATTAGAGTACATGGAATGAATTAGTAAAACTGCCAAAGAGGAAAATGTCAGTGATTGGTACACTACCAAGCGATTCACAAATGCTCAAAATTAATTAAATTAAGAACAAAAAAATTAGAAAACTCATTAAAGAAGCTAAGATGGCATAATTAGATTTGCAGAATAAGAGACTAAAAGCCAAAGAGAGGACACCAGGCTGGAAGACTAAGCCCCTTCTATAGGTAATTTCTGAGAACAATCAAAAGTGACAGATCCAGATCCAGCAGCAGCAGTCAATCTTCCCCAACATGTCTGAGTTGGAAGGCTAGGAAGTAAACAAAAGCCAGAGCACCAATACCTGAGGAAGTACCAGCAGCTGGAACTGAAAAGCCAGAGGGAACAACGGCAACTGGAACTGAAGGGCCAGGAAAAACTGGAGCAGCTGGAGCATTAGAAGAAATAATGGCAATTCATGCTAGAGATGGCCAGATTCAAGGTCTACGTACTCTTCTTGACCACTTCCAAAACGGTAGATCACTTAGGCAAGTTCATTGGAATGAACATTTTCTACACATTTGAGTGTAGAAAAAGAAAAGGAAAAGATATGGAGTCGAAGGAGGCCAAAGGAAGTCCAGGATGAGTCTCTGCTTCAATAGTATTTTCATTTGGACGAAAACCAGGTAAACACCCACTTCTTGTTCAGGATGACTCTTCCCTACCTAGCAACATACATGCATCCTAATTAGATAAGCAGCTCAATTGGTCATCAAATGCTCACTCAACCACTGAACTGGAATAATGCCTGATGTACCAAGGGAGCACATCCCTAGGGAATGGGGGATGTTAGACAGGAATGCTAGGGAGCATGCTACAGTCTCTCTTGTTGCTATCTACAGTAAGACATGAAAGGGCTGGTTTAGCAAGGCATGGCCCCAAGAAAGCACTTTCCTGGTAGGGTTGGCCAGAGGTAAAAGGCCAGCTCCACAGAAAGGAACAGCATGGCTAGAGGGAATAGAGAATTGCTAACTTCCAAAGTAATTAGGAAAAAAAATAGAAGGGAAATAGACCCTAGGGAGTCCAGAACACTATATAGCCTGCTTCTGGAAGGCATGACCCTTATCTAAACCAACTAAATTGGAATTAAATGGCCCAGACCATCAAACAAATATGTAAAAAAACAACTTGAATGATCTGAAAATAATTTTTATTACATAAAGTTGCATCCAATATGTCTGGCAGATTTAGTTCTGGGGGAAAAAAAGCATTAAGAGTGAAGAGAAATGCAGTTGCCTCAATCCCCACGGACCAGGGTTAGTGATGTAGTAACAGTACAGAAGAAGAAATTATTTTTAGAACATTTAGAATAATAAAACCTCAGAAATTTGCATAATTTTTGGTTAGTCTTAACAACAGAAGGAAAAAGCATCTAAGGAACAAAATAAAAACTGAAAAACTTACTAGAGATCATCTAAATTATTTCCAGCTGACTAGAAACAAAGGCAAATAATAAATCTCCTCTGAGATGGTTTGTCATGAAGAGCTTCTGGCCTGATAGGAAGTGAGATGAAGGGACTGGCCAGTTGGCTCAGTTGGTTAACTGTGGTACTGAAAACTCCAAGGTCAAGGGTTCAGATCCCCATACTGGCCAGCTGCCAAAAAAAATAGTGTAATGAGAGTTCCGATCAAGATGGCAGGATAGACGGTCCCCAGCGTCACTCTCTCCCACCAATCAACGAATTTATGACTATAAAAATGTAACATCAGCCAAGCTGGGGCCGCTGGAGCTCAGGTGAAGAGGAGAAGAGACGAACAAAGTTCACGAAAGTGGGAGAAACCACGATGCGAGAAAGAAAAAACTGCTCTGAGGGTTTTGGGCAACAGTCGCTT